TATTAGTTTAGTTATTTATTATACCTACATCTATTTCTTGCACATGCTTAAAACTAATGAGTGTTGAATAAATAAACTCCCACGTATACTTAAGCTTTTATCTAGGGCCGGTGCTAGATACCACCTGGTGCAGTCTCTGCAGGTCCTAAATTCTGCTACAAAGGGCCTTCCTAAGTTCTAAATTTTCGCCGCTCCTTAACTCAGTGCTTTCCCTATAAATTAAAAAAAATTTCTCAACCCTTAATTTTGCTGCTCAATGCATCCCCAAATTCCAAAAAATTTGTCTTCCCTAATTCTGCCATCGCTTCTGGGTTTAAATGAATAACATATCAGTTATTCTTAATTAAAATAGCACTAAATGTAATTTTTGGCCTATGAATTTCATTAACAAAATCTATTTTTAGCATCTGAAAAGAAATTTTTATTAAATTTTTCCTCGTCAACATTTCTTAGCACATTGAACTTATATCTGTAACCATTGCTAAGCGTAATGTTATCATAAAAGGTTGCCATACTCTTGTTATTCAATTACTAATATAAAAACAAAATTTTTACACATTGCTGCACAAGTCATTACTGAAGCTGTCATATATTGATAAACATACAGAGATGAAAGCAAAATATAATAAATAATGACTCGCCAGGTCAGCGTCAGGGATATAAAATACTAGTAAGTGAATGTTTCAGTTTGAGATGAATGCCAAGCAGATGCTCATCTATGTAGCCAAATTCTTAATCTCACAAATTTATGCTTACATGATTGTTTCTTCATACCGAGGTATTTTATTTAGTGCCTAAGTGAAATTAAGAATCGGAATTTTTAAGTGAAAATCTCCACATGTTTTATTATGGAATTAAAAATTAAATGCGTATGCGTAAAGCATACAAGAAAAAAAGTTTGTGGCTTTGAGGTCTGGATTTTAGATCATTCTGGATATTGGACCTGCAGATCTCGGACTTTGTACTCTGTATTTATGGGTGCCCCTTGGCGGAAATTGGGGATTTTCAGCAGTACATGGATACCGAGTTTTTGCAGTTGTTTGCCTTGTTATTTTGGCTTTGTGTAGCGGCGATTTTTGCAGCAAACATCGCCACTACACAAAGCCAAAATAACAAGTGAAAGAATTGCACAAACTTGGTATCCATGTGCACATCAACCTATTTTCACTTAAAAACACATCAGAGAATTGCACAAACTTGGCATTGCACACTCTCTTTTCTTTGTCCATGTACACATCGATCTATTTTCACTTAAAAAGGTCAAATGAGCAGCCAACAAAAAATATAATCTCAATAAACTACATTTTAAATGAAACAGTGAAATAACATAAAAGAGGAAATTCATCTTAGCACTGCGCAAAGGAAATAACTATTAAAGTATGTTAATAAAAATAATAATAATATAATATATAGTTTAGATAAGTTCTGGCAACAGTGAGTGACATATCGAGCTACAAGACATATCATGAATTGTTTCACATACTTTATTGACTTTATGAAGTTTGATAGTCCCTGTAGCATCAAGGCTGCTGGAAAAGAAACTTTAGTTGCTCTTGGTAAAGGTACAGTATGTGTCAAAACAACTATTGGTAGTAAAATCCAAAGAATTTACCTTAAAGATGTTTGGTATGTCCCTGAGATAAACAGAAATTTATTTTCTTTACTTGCTGCTCAAGATAGAAATCCGAATAGTAAATTTATTTCAACAGTTTACAGAATGCTGGTTAAAGGTTAATGGTCAAGTAGTGCTTTTTTGGAACTCGCAAAGTATATGGTATTTATACAAGGCAGCTATCGAACCTATTATGCCTGATAAAATTATAGAAGTGCATGCTGCTGAAGCAGACAATTCCTTGTTAGAGTTATATCATCAGAGATGGGGACATCAAGATAAAACGTCACATTAAGAACATGCTTGAGAAAGAATTAGGAATTAAAATCCCATTTGAAAGAAAATTGTGTGAACCATGGCATTTTTGGCAAAGCACATCGTTTACCATTTGGCATAGAAAGCCAGCCAGCAAGCCTGGTGAATTAATTTCAGCTGATGTCTGTGGACCTTTTGATGATCTTTCCAGAAGAAAAGATACTTAGTTGTGTTTAAAGATAGCTACACAAAGTTTCGTTATGGGTATTTTATCAAGGAAAAATCTGCTGTTGTAAATATGTTACACATGCTTGCACACGCTAAATTTTAGGACATCCAGTCAAAGAATTTCTCAGCGATAATGGAGGCGAGTTTGACAATGACAAAGTGCGTGCTATTTTGCATTCTGAAGGTATAACTCAAAGACTAACAGCACCTTATTCTCCTGAACAAAATGGCTCAGTGAAAGAGACATATGTACAATAATCGAAATGGCAAAGAACATTTAAGTACTCAAATTCTGAAGCTCATTTTCCTGCAGCAATATGGGCTGAACTAGTCAACACTGCCATATATGTACTAAACAGAACTGGCAAATCATCAGTGGAAGGCATGAGTCCTTATGAGCTATGGTTTAAAAAGAAACCTCGAATTAAGCATCTTTCGTATAGTAGGATCTGTGTGCTATGCCCATATTCCTAAACAAAGAAGAAGGAAAATGGATAATAAGGCTACAAAAGCTTATTTAATTGGTTATGATGGAGACGAAAGATACCGATTATGGATCAAAGAAACCAATAGTGTGATCTGTTCACGGGATGTTATATTTAATGAAAAGCTCACAGATTGTGAAGAAAGGGTGCAGTTACCTATTCAAGATCAAGATAGCCTAATTTCTGGCTCTGAACATCAACAAAATTCAGAAAAAGATAAGTCAGAAAAGTTTCTTTGTGAAGAAGACAATTCAGAAAAAGAGTACAACAAAGAAATATCTGGAAATATATCAGAAGAACATTCTGAAAGAGAAGAATGTGAAGATATTAATTTGCAAAATAATGCACAGTCAAGATTCCTAAGAGATAGAGCTGACATGAGAAAGCCAAAGCGTTTTGAAGATTATATAATGATAAGTGAAGCTTTTATTATTGATTCTGAAGAACCTGAATCTTATGAAGAAGCAATCAACTGTAAGCAAAGTGTTAATTGGAAAGAAGCTATGGATTCAGAGATGAAATCATTGATAGAGAATGAAACATGGAGTTTAGAAAAATTACCAAAAGATGCTAAAGCTATACCATGCAAGTGGGTTTATAAGATCAAAAGAAATCCTGATGGATCTATTGATAAATTCAAGGCTAGACTTGTTGCCAAAGGATGTACTCAACGTTTTGGAGTTGATTATGATCAAACGTTTAGTCCTGTAACAAGTTAGGAACTATTCTTCAGTTTTGAGCATCGCAGCCATGAGAAAATGCTCTTTCTCAGTTTGATGTCGGTTCAGCATTCTTATATGGAAAACTTGAAGAATCTATATACATGCAGCAACCAGAAGATATAGTGACGGTTCGAAGAAGTCTGTAAGTTGAAACGCAGTTTGTATGGACTTAAACAATCATCACGCTGCTGGAATAAATTTTTGGAGATTTTGTGTCACAGCTGGGCTTCAAGACAAGGAAGCTGATCCATGCTTATATAAGAAACAATAACGGCAAAAGCTAATCGTATGTTTATATGTAGATGATGGTTTAATAGCATCAACAGATCTACAAGAATCTGAAAAAATTTCTCAGAGAATTGAAGTCGAGATTCAGAATCACAACTAAACCAGCAGTATATACTTTCTTGGACTTGAAATTAAACATCTTGAAGATGGAAGTATTAAAATTAATCAGCAAGCTTAGCAAGAAAAATTCTTCAAAAATTTGGGATGGAAGATTGCAAGCCAGTTGTCAACTCCTATCCTGAAGGAAGGTCTACTGAAAAGAAAAAAAGGAAATCAAACAGAGAAATTTTTCCTTATAGAGAAGCTGTAGGAGCTTTAATGTATCTTATGTTAGGCACAAGACCAGATTTAGCTTACTGTGTTGGCATTCTATAACGTTACCTAGAAAATCCTTCGAAGATGATTGGAAAAAAGTGAAACTTGTATTCAGATAATAGCAGGTTCTCTAACTCAAGGTGTTCATACAGAATAAATACAAACCAGGAATTTAGAATGCTATAGTGATGCCGATTTTGGAGGCTGTCAAGAAACAGAAAATCAACGAGGGAGTAGTGATATATATAGTGGTTTAGCTATATCATGGATTAGCCAAGGCAAACAGTTGTTGCAACTTCGACGAACTGAACAGAAGTAATTGCAGCTAGTGAATGTTCTAGAGAAGTAATTTGGTAAGCGACTATTTAGTGATGTAACCAAGTTACGTGAAACTCCAGTAATTCAAGTAGACAACGCCGCTGCAGTGAGACTGTCACAAAACCTGGAGTTTTCATCGACGCAACAAACACATTGATATCAAGCACTTTTTCATACGAGAGAAAGTTCTAGAAAAGGAAATCATTGTGCAGCAGGTACCTACAGAGGGCGCAAGTTGCTGACATAATGACTAAAACCTTTATTTAAACCGAGACTGTTAATTCTTTGTGACAAGATGGACTTTTGTGACTCTTTTCTTTTAATTTATTATTATTATTTTTTTTTACAAGGGGAAGTATTAAAGTATGTAATAAAAATAATAACCAATATAATATATAGTTTAGATAGTTCTGGCAACAGTGATGTTTGTCGCATCAGGAGATCGTGCTTCGCATACTGTCGTTCGAAAGAATAGCTATAGTTTGTAATTCCAATAAAAGCATCGTATTTTTGCTCTGCTGTTTGTTTTCTCTATTTTTAGAAATACCTTTTTAGGTTATGTATTTTTAAGAAATACTTTTTTTAATAACCACTTACCTTATTTAAAAATTTCCATCTCTTCAGTCAAACAAAATTCCTTAACAGCATCCAAAAACTTCCTAAAATTATCTGAATTGGAATCTGTATACTGGCATTGCCACAAAGATAAAAGTAAAAAATATCCTCCGGCATTTGACTGTACGCATTTCCTTCCCACAAACAGGAGACTTATAATGGCTACTTAGTAAACCTTCATTTACACACCAGTCAGTTAATGCTCTTTTCCCCTTCCGTTCCAAATTGTACAGAAACTTTAAATTAATTACCACATTCAGCCGTTTTACTGTCTAAACCACCAAACAAGCGACGAACTTCCTAACCAACACACACCGCAAGCCCTTACAAATCTTTTCCCCGTCATTCAAATTCACTGCAATCACGCAACCAATTATGTCATAATAGGGTTTCCATAACATTCAACTATTCGCGTTACCATAAATGAAATGACTTTGCAATAAATAAAACAAGAATGTCGCGATAATACAAGGCAACCCTTAAATCTATTCTAACCGATTTACATAGTAGTCATTATTAGTATCCTGTTTGTACGAAGGAAATGCATATGATCAAACGCAAAGATCGTTCAGATGGCTTTGAATGGGTTTATCGCAAGAAAGGTTTATGCAAGAAATGCCACTGACAATCCGCCACTATGGAAGATATTTTTTTATTCTTTATTTTTTGGGAATTTACGTTGTGATGGCAGTATACAGGTTCTAGTTCAGATAATTTTAGAAAGTTCTTGGATGCCGTTAAGGAATTTTGTGTGCTCAGTCTAAAGACGCAGAAATTTCTAAATAAGGTAAGTCGATATTTCCTTTTTGTAATGCATAGATGAGAAAACATGTATTTCCCTTTTTATGTTATTTCATTGTTTGATTTAAAATGCAGTTTATTGAGATTATATAGTTTGTTTTAATTATGTTTTATTGCATTATGTTTTGGACGCAATTTTACTGGGTAGGGCATTAGACGTAAACTGGAATTGCATCAATTTTTGCCAAGGGATACCCTGAAATATATTTTTACCAATTTAGAACTTTCAAAACTCCTCATAGCATTTATCCATGCAGGGAGTCTTTGATAACAAGGTTTGTAGCGGTCCTTACAAGTGCTTATAAGTCCTTATATTTGAAAATAAAATATAAAGGCCCTTATAGGTGCTTACTTTTTCTTTAAAGCCCTTATTTATTTATTTTTTTTTTAGTGCTTATTTTTTGCTTTTAGTGCTTTTTTTTTTTTTAATGAACGTGCATTTTTCCCCCGTACCAAAGCCGAAACTAAATAAACAACTTTTCTTCCTTATATGCAACGTCAGATGGTGAATCATACTCCTGGAAACTGCTTTCCCCCCTTTCTCTGCATTAACGTAACCTATGGTGCACGCGAGAGTACAGACAGGTGCACGTCGTTCTGTTGGTCAAAGAATTGCAAAATCGGTAAAAAATTCCGGTACATTCGGTATTCTTTTCCTCCCTCCCAAATACTACATACATTTGAATTTCTATCAAGATTTTAATAATTTGCTTTCTCATTCCACGTGGTCAGTTAATATTCGTGTTTATTATTATTGTTATGCTTATATTATGAGCATATGAATGAATATTTATAATATAGTTGCAGTAACTGCTGAAGTATAGATAAACTTCCAAAAATGGGTGTGTTTTTACTCAGATTAGCTATCTAAGGAATAATATTCGGAATGGCTTAAATAAAAGGAAAGTAACCGAATAGTCAAAATAATTTCTTTTTTCTTTCTTTTTTTTTTTTTTTCCCAATACATTATACAAAGAGGAGAACAAAGCCAACCTATCCATCACATGCAACGGTTCTGTTTGGTGCTTCAACAGCAACAAACAGAACTGTTTTTTTGATCGTTTGATTAGTGGAGACAAAAAATAAGTCCTATATGATAATCCAAAACTCAAATGGCAGTTTTAATAGGGGCTACAAAGGGTTTGCATCCTGAAAAGGCACTTCTGGGTGTTTGACGGAGTATTCGCGGAATTTTTCATTTAGAATTGCTGAAACCTAGAAAAACTGTTAATGTAGACCTTTATTGTGAACAATTGGATCTAGTGAACCAATCTTTAATTGAAAAATATCAATTGTCAATGGAAAAGGCATCATTCTGCAATACGACAGTGCAAGATCGCACTGTGCAAGACGAACACTGGAAAAAAATTAATGAATTGGGGTGGGAGGTACTGCCATACTCAGCCAATATCGCCGCATTGGATTTCCATTTATTCGGATCCCTACAACATTTTCTTAGTGGCAAAAAATTTGAAAATTTGGATGATGTCCAAAATGTCCTCTCTAGATATTTTACCCCAAAACCCATTGACTTTTATCGGTCTGGGATTGAAAATCTGCACATTAGATTTCAAAAGGTTGTTGATAACGAGGGTGATTATATTATTAATTAAAAATAAAAACTTGTTAATGTATTCGTTTGAATTTAATGTAAGAAAGCGGCATTACTTTCCTGTCCCCCTATTAAATGAAACGTCAATTTTTTAACATACCTTTTTTCATGTGCATGCGTTTAGGCTTCCCACCACCATCTCCTCCATCCTCTAGATAGGCAATTCAATTAAATTTTTCATTGTTTCTGATCATCCACTGTTAATCAACATTCATCCTCTTACTCATCTCAGACATATTCAAATGATGGTGCCCACAGCAAAATAATAGCAAGTTTAAAATCCAAGACAATACCACGCACGTGCAAGCAAACGCAGCAACTGAAAAAATAGTAAGAACCCAAAACCTGGGTCCATACAAAAGGATTATTATTACAGAAAAGCAAAGCGGGCTTCCAGATTTCATGAACAATCACTACCGCTTGGAGATTTTTTTCAGAAAAAAAGACAAAGCGGACCATACAGTGAAAAATTAGCCGATCATGCAAATGCAATGTATATTACATAGTTAAAAAAAGTTTTAAAAGATAAATTATATTTCTACGTCTTTTCATGATGTTATGCAATTGTTTAAATTTTGGGAAGAGACCGGTCAATAGAATAGGATAAAAGTAACTGAATTTGTCTGTATTCATTCCATGAAAAGTTAAATCATATTGGTTAGCTCAATCATAAAATATTATTTTTGTGTAATTTGAACATCGTCTATAACAGTGGTTTCAAACTGGTGGCTCCCGAAGCAATTTTTTATGTTGTCCGCAAATATTTTTCAGTCATGTATTTGGTGCAAAGATTTCAATATTTTATTTATTTGAAGTCCAAGTTTATGTTACATTCATTGAACATGAACTTGAGTAACACACTGTAAGATCTATCTCTACTATTCCACATAAACTAAATTTAGAGCCTACAATGAACCTGGTGAATTCTCACAGGATCAAATTACAGGCGTGAATAAATTACCAGCACAAAAGAAGGGTGAAAATAACCCTTTATTTAATTTAAATAATTAACAGAAAGGCATGATCTTTGTTTTTTACAATGCCACCATTAACTTGCGGTGAAACTGAAACGTAAAATATAATTCAAGTCAAAAATCCTGTTGACGTAATCCACAACTTTTGGCATGGAAATCTTGAGAGATGGCAAGTTGTCAAAACTAAAAGTAGCAATGACTAGCAAAATTCACCACCATGGGAGGTGCAAATCATCATTGTCCATGGCAAATTATATAATTATCACAGCATTTGTGAAAAATGTAATATGCAATAAAAATTGTTCTTTATTTCAAGGCTTCGATCGTGCACCACTCGACAACTGTTTGCTTCTACAAAACTTTTCCGTAGGATTGCTGTATTTATCGATAATAATGCATTGCAAGGTACGCTCCTTTATCGCTGTCATGGCTCATCATGACAAAGGTAGGAAATGGGTTACTCGTGTTCTTATCTGAGGTACAGATATTGCAATGCATTGCTAGTTGTCTTTACTTTTTGCTTAGGCATCTAAAAGACTCTTCCTGAAGGAGATTTTAACATGAATCATGGCACATTGTGCGCATAATCAAAGATTGTCTAGGGTTAAAAAAAATAACATTTATTAACAAACTTTTTACAAATCGTAGAGACATTACGTTTTTTTTAAGCAAGAGATGTGAAAAATGTGCAGTGTCGTCGCTGAGCTTCGAACCTGGACCTCTGGAATACGAGCTGAGTGTGCTACTTTTACACCATGAAGACATGCCGGAAGGAGGGAGAAAATACCTCTGCATACTGTGCCTTTTAAAGGTAACTGGGGATTAGGGGACCCAGTCATCAAATCCTGATGGTGGCAAATTATTGTCCACCACCTTTTAGTCCAGGTGCCACTGTAGAGTCATCAGGTTGTTTTGAAGCAGGAGATGTGAAAAATATGCAGCGCACTTGCTGAGACTTGAAGCTGGACCTCTTGAATATGAGCCAAGTGTGCTACCGTTACACCATGAAGGCATGCTTGAGGGTGGGAGAAAATAGTTTATAAAACAAAACAGAACCATGGATTACATGCAATGAAAAATGGATGCTATACACAAACAGTACTGTGTGATGACTGGTAATGTTGCTTTTCCTGGGGGGGGGGAAGAAAGCAGAGCCTGATATTCGTGGGAAGAAAGTTTTATTGTGTATTTGATGAGGGCAAAGAGGTGTAATCCATTATGAACTTCTAATGTATGGTAGAACTATGTTAACTTTGAAATACTGTCTATATGTGAAAACTGCATGATGATAACTGTATGGTTTTTTTCATGGAAGATGATTTTAGAGGCACTGGTAGTGATTAAATTACTTTTAAGGTTATACCTAATTAACTATTAATCTAGATTAAATTTGTTTCTGTGTTTATGATAAATTCTCATCTATGTATTTCGAGGTCAGAAACTTTAGCCTTGACAAGAGGTAAAACTTAAGGAAATGGTTTATTCAAAGCTATACCTTGTAGTACAACTAAAATGTAACAAAACATATCCTCTGCTTCTTGAGGTATCTTATAATTGTGAATGCTTAAATATGTGCAAATCAACAGCTAGTTTCTGTGCCTAAATCCAGCTTCAAGTATTTGTGACTTTTAGGTCTATTAACACAATTATTTGCTATTTAAACTCAGTGTAATTTGTATTCTTGGGAAGGCTCATGGAAGAAATAGAAATAAAGAATTAACTTTAAAATAACTTATTAGCTAAAATAAACTTTCAGTAGTGTTCTTGTTATATCACTTCAAAGTTCATTTGCGAGAGCAAATACGCTTCTGGAACTGTTAAATTAAAATATAAGATCATTTGTCAAAACTGTGTATTTTCTTTAAAATACTAATTTATATAATATTAACTTTCTTTCGAAAGCAAACATAAATGTCACTTTCATTAAAACAAATATTTTTTTTTTGACTTTTTCCATCTGTGGCTAATTGGTTAAAGCTATGGCACCAGAGTGCAAAAAGGAATAAAAATTTTTAAAAGATTTAAATCAGATATTTTTGATTTTTTTCTGCATGAATTTATTAAATGCTTTCATGCATTGAAGATTTTCATTTTCAAAGTAGTTAACCTCTGATTAGATGTCTTTGCACTCCACTTTGGCTGAGAATACAGCATTTAAAATATGAACCAGTGCCGTTGCTATGCTTGTTTTGCATACTTGATGATAGTTGTCCCAGTAAACACTGCATGAATACGGGCGATTGTTTAAAAAAATGCCGCATTATGACAAATTGTTAAACATAAAATTTTCTGTTTTGTTAAAGGTTTATAAACTTGAATTTGCTTTATGTGATGTAACCAAAGAATAAATATCTTGTTTTATTGCAGCAACCATGTTTTTTTTTTTTTTTTTTTCCATGTTATATATTTACAAACCACTATTTACAAACAAGCTGGAGTTGTTGGACATGAGTCATTAGGCTGAAGGGCAAATGGCTGAGAATTGTAATACATATTTTTACACAAAAATTAATATAATTGTACAAAATTTTATTTATTAATAGCATGAAATACAGTGAAATATTTTGGCAGCTGTTTGACATTAACTCGTAAAATCAATTTAATGTAAATTTATACAAACTGACAAGTAAACAGTCTTCCACCCAAATAAGGCGTTTGCTATTATATCTTTTATGAAAATACAAATAAACAAACAATCAATAGTTATAACTATAGGAATGTTGCTTATTTCTGCAATCTGCATAACTTTTTCAAAACTCTTTATTGCACACATTATATTTGAGCTACTACCACTTGCATTCAGTGCTTTAAATGAAAGAAAAATTGTTTTGCTGCCTTTTCAACTTATGATGGTTTTCACAATTTTCTGTGTACAATTCTAAATGAAGAAAATAATTCTTTCAGTCCCTCCTGATGAAGATCTTGCTGTGCATAATATTTCAATCATATCCAGTTCTTTATCCCTATGCCGTCTTTCTAAAAAAAAAAGCTATTGATTTCTATCACATAAGTGTGATCAGTGACTCGATTGCCTGATTTTCAAAAATCGTTCCATTCAAAAGTGGAACCTGAATTATAAATTTCAATGTAATGATGAACAAAGCAATATTCACACATTTTTCTTTTACTGATTCCAAATTCTCTTCCTTTTCAGATGTTAATAAAGCTTCAGTTTCAAATTTTGATGCTAAAATATATGTTAAAAATGAGCTGTTGATGTGCTTTTTCATATCCTGTTTTAAATAATTTTATTTATGATTTATTAAGATTTTTAAGCTGTTTTTGATGTGTTCCCAAATTTTAACATCTGTTATCATGCTTAGTTGCTTTAGATACTCAGTAACATTGGATATATTTAAATTTTTGGCCAATAAATTATATAATAAGATATGTTATCTGAAACAATATATCCATAAAGAAGTGATATATTCATAAAATATATGCTGAAAATTGTTTTCTAATTTTTTTCTCATTTTTCCGCATTTGCTACACTATTCATTACAAAACTACAAATTTTATATTTATATTTGTTTGCAACTTTTTTAATGGCATTAACAGCAAAAATAAGTGAATTTCACTTATATGTTGTGTTAATGATGTGTCAATTATTTCCATTAAACAAACAGTTCCATCCAGTGCTTAAATTGCGCCGGAGCCCGCCTCCGCTACTTCTCAGTTTTCGAGATAAATTATAATTGTAGCCAGAGCACACCGGAGCTCTAAATAAAAGGGCTGCAGTACTTCTTTTATGTAAGGTAACCACAATTTTAGCACATGATTTTTTTAAATAGTAAAACATGTGTTCAAAATTAATTCTTACTTCTGAATTCTGTGTTTCCCTCGCACTCAAGCCTTGCACTGAGGTTGAGACTTTTAAGGGAAAGTCCCCCAATCATATGTCAAAGGCTTATTCTTCAGGATATGCAATGAATTTATGAGAATGGGTAAATTTTATATTCCTCAAAGAACTAAAAGTGATACCCTGGTCATGTACGTTTCACGCTAGTTTCTTACTGCACAGCTCCTGTAGACTTTCTGAATGATGTAACCAAATGGGAGGACCACTGGTGTCACTTGTACAAAGAAATCTTGTGTTTATTCTCATGTTGTATTCAGGAAAATTATATCGGCAGGGCATTGCGATCAGACAGTCTTGAACTCTTTCCTCTTTATTTTCAAAGCTACAATTTTCCGTTAAATCTCTTTCCATATCCTCATACCATTTCTAGAATTCTCACTATTCTCCTTAGGGGAGCTTTAATCGTTTTATCTTTTTTCCTTGGTTTGCTGCAAGAAAAGAGTGGTACCTGTCATCCCTTGAGATAGTATATTATGCGTATAATCAGGGCTTAAACTTAGATGGCAATTGGCTGAGCTGCTTCTTAGAATCTAAGTGGAACTGTAATTCCAGATGATGCTACAAATAAGACAAGTCCGATATTTTTTTTTCTATTTAACTATTTAAAATTAGTAATTTATTAGATTTTTCTTTACCTCTTTAAATATTCTTAATTTTACTTAATTAAATTAATATAATTTAAATTTATTATTTAATTATTTTAATATTTAGCTGTTTTATTTCTTTCTTTTTGTTTCCTTAATCACAGTCTTCCAAAGGGTTCAGGCATTTCTAATTTTAAAAATTAAGCCCTGGTTCCATTTAAGGTTCCATTATGAAGGTTTACGGTACGATGAAGGTTACGTAAACCTTCATCGGTTTGCCTTCCACCACACTTTAAATCATGTCATCCGACTAAACAAAAGTTAGCTTCATTTTATTCCTATGTTTTCTGTGCTTTTCAAGTTTGCTCCTCCAAACTAGCCCTTGATGAAGAACTAAATTATAACAAAAAGCAATAGCTATTGACAGGGCTTTTCACCCAACATTATTAATCAAGCAGTTAAAAAATTCTCATCTCAACACACTAAAAGCCACACTCTTATTTAGGAGATTATAAAAATTCTGTTGTCATTCCCTTCTTTCATCAATTAGCTATAAAGTTGCACATATTTTGCAGAATTTAACTTTCGGGTTGTTTATTCTCCCATCGATAAAATTCGGACTTCTATACTCAAGGACCCCATTCCGGATATGAATTCCTGGGGTATTTATAGGATTCCTTGCCAGTGTGGTTTAAATTTACATTGGCCAAACTAAGAGAGCCTTAAATTTCGCATCAAAGACATGAGGCATGTGTTAGAAAAAAGGAAACACGAAGTCTTCTGTTGCTCAACATTGTTGGTCCGAAAATCACACTTTCAATTTTTCTGCTGCTAAAATTATTCAAAAAACATCTTCCCATTGGAGAACTGGATTTTCTAGAGGCATTTCATTCATAAAAATCTTTCTATTCTAGTTAACGATCCTAATTCCAATCCAAATTTGCCTTCGGCTTTTAGAGAAAATTATGTTTTAGTTTGGTTTCGCCACAGATGGCGCCACTTGCTTATTCTTGTCCAGGCTTTCTTATCTCATCTAATCATTATTTCCTATCTTGTTCATTTGCGGTTTTGCAGCTGAAGATGGTGGTTCTGTAAAACCATCGAAACTAGTCCTGTGAAAATTTTGTAAATATAACGCTGATTTTTGTTGTTTGACTTCTGAATTAGTATACATAGGCTTGTTATATTAATATTGTGATATTTAAATTAAATCTCATTGCCTTGATTTATGCTTTTTTCAACTTTTTGTTGTATTTTTGTATCAAATAATGTTTTAAACAGAAAATAAGTAACTTATATTAGTTTAATTTTTGTAATGTTTGAAACAATAAAATACTGTCATAGAAGTGGATGCATTTTATTTTAGGTGTTTGTCTCTGATTGATTGATTATAGTGTCAAGAATTAAATCACATAAAATTGTAGACCGTATTTGATCAATAGTTTATATATTTTCAACTTTTTTGCAGAATGTGATCCAGATTCAACTAAGTTGATCAAAAAGCGCATTTTGATGCGAATGACTGCTGCGTCTAACTCAGAGCTTCAGAACATCCTTCAGAAATTAGATACCAGTTATCTTTTGTATGGCATGAGTATATCATTTTTTTTTTTTTTTTTAAATGCTGATAAATTTTATTTGAATATGGTAATTATTTTGTATTTTTAGTTAAACCAGAAGTATATAATAGATATAAACTGGATTTAACATTGCTTATCTAATAAATATAAATATCTGATATTTGTCAAAAGATTTTCAGTAATAAGTTAATTTGTAATCAGCAGTAAGTATCTGGGCTACAGACCCCACTCTATTTAGGCATATGAAAAGATAAAAAAAGAAATGTAGAAATTGAAAAAAAATTACAATTTGTAATATTGATACAGTACAATGTCTGAAATCCGGATGTCTAGTATTCAGAATGATTTAATGTCTAGACCCCAGGACCTCTAACAAAAACAAACAAAAAAAATACAAAAAAAAAACTCCATGTCACGTTCAAGAAGCTGTGGCTGGCCAATGAATATGCATCGATTGCACATTGGTCTCAACCATACTTTCGACCTTTGTGTAGTTGTGAAGGGGTTAACCCTTTTTTTAATCTGATTTAAACAATAAGTGAAGCCCCAATACAGAATTGTTTGGAGTGGGATGTTGCACATACTGATTTTCTTTTTTGGACATAACAGTGGTGAAGAGAGAAAGATTCTCAGAAATGATCGGTCAACATTGTTACTAGTGCTCTTTCTTAACCTTCTAATTTGATTCAGATTATTTGTTTTTGTGGACTACTATTATAAAATCTATCTTATCAAAATCTGAATTTTTTGTTATGTTGAAAAAAGCTTCTAATTCTGGAACTGCAGTAGGATCTACAAAGCAAAAACTTGTTTTGATGTCAATCAAAGAAAAAGTGGAATTGCTGCAAAAAATGGGTAAAGGCATATCCTTCTCAAAACTATGCAAGAGTATGGCATTGGAAAGTATAAGGAGGAAAAACAGAAAAAATAATTTTTTTGGAGGGGGGGGGATTCTGATACTTCACTTGCAGTGAATAACAGAAAAAAAAAAATCATTCATTATGCTAAAAGTAACCATCATGTCAAAGTGACACACCAAAAGCATGCCACTGATAGGTACAATGCTAATGCCTCAAACCAAAATATATCTTGAAGAAATGCACTTATATCGCCATGTTTTGAGTCAATCTATCAAACTTATTAACAGCAAAAAAATTGTCTCCAGAACAAATTTATAACACTGAAACTGGTCTTTTTTGGCAATATATGCCCCAAAATACCCTGGCAGCTTCTGCAGAAAAATCTCAATTCATGTCACAGATTCCAAAACAAGAGTAACCGTTATGGCACCTGCATATTTTCAGCCATGCCTCTGCAAAAGGCATGTACAGTTTGTGTGAGGACCACACAGAAATTGTAACTTTTCATAATAGAAAAAAATGTATGACCTCAGGCATTTAAAAGATTAATGATTTTTCCCTGTCATCTGTCATTCGAATAAAAGAATATGGATGACATAAACATTACTGAATGATTGGTTTGAAAATCATTTCATACCGGAGGTTTGGAATATTTGAAATGGGCTTATTTACCAGACAATGCAAAAATTTCCATGATTGTAGACCACTTTTTGGCTTATGCTTTACTTAAAGGTTTAGTAAAAGATAACATATCTTTCTTAATCTTTCCTCCAAAAGCATGCGTTATTCAGTCAGTGACTATGGGAGTACTGTGTGTTAAAATGTAAATGTATTGTAGCTGAACAGTGAAAAGGACCTTTCAAGAATATTTGAAATATTTTAACTCAAAATATGCTCTGTGAAGCATTGCAGAGTTGTAGGAGAATGTGTTTGCTGACATATAAAAAAGTGCTTGGTCTAATTTATGGCCTGCTACCTATTGCTTGGTAATGGTGATGATAGCTGCTAATCTGAAAGTTTTTGGATATCATGAGCTAAAGACTTTTCCAGTTAATGGAATTTATGAAGAAATGTAGAGACATGATAAAAAATGAAATTTTTCATTGCCCTATTCATAAATCAACTAATAGACAGAAAATCTGCAGTATGGTTTTATACAGGATTGTGGAGTCGGTAGGGAAAATGACAGACCTCCTGGAATTTTAAAGACTCCGACCCCCTCATATATATATATATATGTGTGTGTGTGTGTAAACATATATACATGGATTACAGCTTATTTTTTTAATATAAAAGAAGTAATAGATGCAGGAAAAAATTTATTGTATAGCAAATTATTTATATTAATTAGCATTTATTATAAAAGGGGAAAACTGGCATTAGTTATTTCTAAGAAATAGTATAGCTTCGGCAAGATCTTTGTTGGAGGGCCATAGATCCGATTTGATAAACTTCAGAGATGAGAAGAGTCTTTCCACACTAACTTGAGTAGGAGGAAGAGCTGTTACTGTTTGGGCTACTTCTTTTTAACTTTTCAGGATAAATTTTATTAGTTCTAAAAGAGGTGTCTTGCAAGCGCAATCATATTTCTCTATTCTATTTCAAAGGCCGTGTAGAAATCTTGTTTGTATCTTTTCATTTTAATATCTAAAGACTCTTGGTTCTTTATTTTCATTTGCTTTGCCTTAGCCTTTTCAATATTATCCAAAATTGTTTCTCAAAATCTAATTCATCACTGGAAGTGGATGATGATTCTCAATTGCAGTGTCTGTAGTTTGACGGTCCTGATTCGAATTCTCCAATTGTTCTGAGAATAATTTCATTCTAAATAAAAGTTCATAGATGGCTTTCTTTGCCTTTTTAATTTGTCCATCATCCAAGAAAATTTGTTGTTTCGGATCTACATATATTGAACCCAGCAAGATCTCATTGTCTAGCAAACTAGTTTCTCTTTTCTTCATTGAAGAAATGATTCCTTCTGCAATAAACCCTCCATTTCAGAAAGAACAAACATCACATTCTTCCATTCTCATCTTCTGTCAATTCTTCAGATTGCAGCTTTTTTGTGGCTATATATGGTGTAGAAAGAAGAGTTTCCAATTCTGCAAGATCATTCCACAGTCTTTCTGTTAGTGAAACATAAAACCCTTATCACATATGATATTTGTTACCGGAACAAAATGTTTGGTAGAACAGTTCCGAGAAACGCTCTTTGGCGAAATAGGGTTACCATCTTTACTTGGTAAACAGGCTGAAAGCCAAACAAGAATCAGTTATCGCTCAGATTGGTGAAAGTGACTTTTCCTTTCAAGTGACGTTTGCTTCTTCATGTTGTTTTGTATCGCTCACACTCGTTTCGTTTTAAACTTTATTGTTAGTAATGGAAGATAATAGAAAGGTGATTGCTATCAAGTTAATCACTTTGATCTCCACTCTGGCACTTCAAGTAACAGATAAACACACTTCTGGTTATAGCAATCAATTACATCAGTAATAGCCAAATTCTGTATACACTAAGAATAGTTTAAAACGTGTGCTGTATAAGTCTATTTATCAGACATTACTTATGTGTATTTTCTGTTGTCTGCATTCCAAATGTGATGGCTCACTGGAAAATTTGTGACCTGGTAAAAGCATTTTCTTGACTAACTTTATGGCTCATAATTACTGTTCTGTCCATTCAAATAAACAAACAGACAAACAAACAAACAAAAAAAAAAAAAAAAAAAAAAAAAAAAAAAAATAAGACCTATGACAAAAATCTATATGGCTGATATTTACATCCTCTCAGCCAGCAGATACTATTCAGTAAAATGAAGATCAAATAAAGCATATGAATAATGAGCAATCAAAGCAATCAAACATGTGCGAGTTGTTTAACTGTCCCATAGAACCACTCGGTAATATACCTAAAACACATTAATTGTACCAACTCTAGAAATTAGGTGGTGCAAATCATGAGTTTGTTTTATGTGATTACGGCAAAGCCTTGAGGAATATATGCCTAACAGGAAGGAATCCCTTTGGAGACAATTTTTTTAAACTGGCTCATGTACCAGTTACAAATGGGGAAAACAAGGAAACGCCCATGTAGCCAGCCCGTTCTGCGGCATTCTAACCTGAGACAGAACTACCAGTGTTCAACGATGCTTCGGCCAATAGTAGGCCCGTGCACTTAATTGGAAAGTACAATTCATTATGTAAAACACGACATGAAGGTCATAATCAGTTGTGCCCTGTTTTAAGTAATCAAATGTTACAAATGCATAGCTGTTACATTTCTTCTTATTTATTAGTCATGGTTATATTACGTGGATCATACTACATATGATATAATTATAAATTAACCCAAATAACAAAATGTGTACGCTCTTTAAGTACTCAAATGCTCATCAATTATTTTTCAACAGATTATTACATATTCATAATAATTTACAAAGAACTGATGACTACAGTTGGTGCCAATTACATGATCATTATATGAATTAAAAGTAACTTCAAATAAACTTTTTGGCAATGTTCATTTTTGTATTCATACATATATATATATATATATATATATATACACATCTAATAAGTCATATATTTACATACAGATAAAGAGATGCAATGGTTTAGAAGTTGTTAATATATATTTATTAGTATTAATGTAAAGAATAAGATTTATCAATCAATAATGTATATACAAATGTTTTTCATCATGCTAATAATAAATCCATAAATTTTTAATGTTTCAATATGTAGCATTTACAGTAAAAGTATTAGTTTTCTAATGTATTTATAATTCAAAAATATTTCATTAATAACATGAAAATAATAGACAAATATAATGAGCTTCTCATTATTACATAAGCATGCTTTTTCTTTTTTATGCATCTTTATTATGCTGTTTTTAAAATGTGTCACTGATTATGCAATTAACAAAATTAATTAAAAGATAAGTAATCAGGAGAAAAGCCGTGCATATACAAACGGATTTTAAAAAATTATTCAACTTAAATTTAAGAAATAAAATTCTATTATATAACAGTAATAATACACGATCAGCACGAAATTTGGCAGAATCAATAGGCAATCGGTCAGTAGGCATTGGCAATAAAAAGCAAATTAATAGGTGATCGGTCGGTGAAGTGTTGGATTAAG